TTACGTGGAACTTCGCTTAATTGGGTCGAAGTGTTCTAGTCCCCCCGATTAACCCGAATCGACTGCATTTTTATTATTTATATGTGTTATTACATGTAAATATCGACTAATTTTTGATTTTTTTAAGCAAAAATTATTACTTCAAATCGAAGTATCTGCTTAATAAACGCTTTCTCTAAAAATATTATGCATAATAAACTTACTTAGTCAAATGGCGAGCTATTTACACGAAATCAATTACGACGTATGTAATATCTGATTACTTAACTGTCACGTGACATGTGAGACGTTTTGTTCAAATTCTCTGTCACCCACTTATTAGTGTCAAAACCTCAACATACACAATTACACTTTAATTAATTACTTTCTGCCCCGGGGGAACTGACAGGCGTGAATTTAAACCATTAACCTGAATTCTGAGCGGCATTGTCCTCTGAAGCCTCGAGACGACGATCGAATCGTTGTTTAAATATTGTTTTGGGCATTGTCCATTGTCTGAGTCATATCTGATGGACACGACGTTTCGGGAGTTGGACCATCGCCCGTCTTCTGGTGATTCGTCATCGTACAGTTTATTAGCAGGACCAACTCTCTAAGAATCGTTAGCATCGGATGTGCTCAGATAATTGAAATCGCCCAATTTGACGTCGAAAAAGGCGTTCTGTGACGTCACACGCAAGAGCCCGGAAGTCGTCTCGATGTCAACCAGTCGGAGTGACGAGGTGCCTCGAGGTGTCCGGAGTCGAGTCGAGTGGCGCTGCCTTTCGAGCCTGGAAACGTCTGGAGTCATGGCGTCGATTTGCAAGCGCTGACAGCCTCATACAACTTTTGTTTATTTACCAAGTTATTAATAACCAATATCTGAATGTTGCTTCCTCGTTCCATGACGCCTTTTGTACCCAGTCCTAGCATGATTCAGCTCGTTGGAGCTGTGTGCACTCAACTCAGTTGGCTGAAGAGCCAAGGTCAGCTTATACAGAATCGCTACTGTCATTTGTTGCTAAGTAAATTTAACCCCGAATCCACACAAAGAAGACTCGACATTCCATAATGTGGATATTCAACGTAGTGACCAACAAGTGAGCTTTGAAAAAGAAATGCACGAAGTATACGTCTTTCTCGAATCTTCTAAATTATACGTCGACAAGGAGACAGAAATTTAACACGCTGTGACGTCATATCGAAATCGACTAATTTTTGATTTTTTTAAGCAAAAATTATTACTTCAAATCGAAGTATCTGCTTAATAAACGCTTTCTCTAAAAATATTATGCATAATAAACTTACTTAGTCAAATGGCGAGCTATTTACACGAAATCAATTACGACGTATGTAATATCTGATTACTTAACTGTCACGTGACATGTGAGACGTTTTGTTCAAATTCTCTGTCACCCACTTATTAGTGTCAAAACCTCAACATACACAATTACACTTTAATTAATTACTTTCTGCCCCGGGGGAACTGACAGGCGTGAATTTAAACCATTAACCTGAATTCTGAGCGGCATTGTCCTCTGAAGCCTCGAGACGACGATCGAATCGTTGTTTAAATATTGTTTTGGGCATTGTCCATTGTCTGAGTCATATCTGATGGACACGACGTTTCGGGAGTTGGACCATCGCCCGTCTTCTGGTGATTCGTCATCGTACAGTTTATTAGCAGGACCAACTCTCTAAGAATCGTTAGCATCGGATGTGCTCAGATAATTGAAATCGCCCAATTTGACGTCGAAAAAGGCGTTCTGTGACGTCACACGCAAGAGCCCGGAAGTCGTCTCGATGTCAACCAGTCGGAGTGACGAGGTGCCTCGAGGTGTCCGGAGTCGAGTCGAGTGGCGCTGCCTTTCGAGCCTGGAAACGTCTGGAGTCATGGCGTCGATTTGCAAGCGCTGACAGCCTCATACAACTTTTGTTTATTTACCAAGTTATTAATAACCAATATCTGAATGTTGCTTCCTCGTTCCATGACGCCTTTTGTACCCAGTCCTAGCATGATTCAGCTCGTTGGAGCTGTGTGCACTCAACTCAGTTGGCTGAAGAGCCAAGGTCAGCTTATACAGAATCGCTACTGTCATTTGTTGCTAAGTAAATTTAACCCCGAATCCACACAAAGAAGACTCGACATTCCATAATGTGGATATTCAACGTAGTGACCAACAAGTGAGCTTTGAAAAAGAAATGCACGAAGTATACGTCTTTCTCGAATCTTCTAAATTATACGTCGACAAGGAGACAGAAATTTAACACGCTGTGACGTCATATCGAAAGGACACTTATGAAAATCGAAAAAAAAGCAATTTGTAGTTGGATTGCTTGTGAAAAAGGACACTTATGAAAATCGAAAAAAAAACAATTTGTAGTTGGTTTGCTTGTGAAATTTTTTGGAAAATTTGCATCTTCAGTCTTTTTGGTATATCCGAGTTTTCGTTGTATCAGACTTGGGAACTTTCCGTCATCTGGGATTCAACTCTGGAACTTACGTGCGAACGTTAAGATGCCTGCAAAAATGCTCTAAGTGACTAACAGGTGGTTAAAATTTGTACCACTGAACAGTAATTTTTTTGAATTCGATGGACGTGTGTTGGAAATCCCATAACTTGAAGCAGACAACGGATGTAAGTAAGTGTGATTGATTATGTTATAATGTGTTGTGATACATTTAAAACCACAAGTAAATTTTTGGAAATTTTTCGTCACTCACATGTTCTCAGTTTTTGGTCCTTTATGTTCATATTTGGATGCTCGTATAAGGTAACGTGAACCGTGTTATGAATTACATTTATAATTTGCTACTTGTAAGGTATAAAATTTAATTTTCGTTTGCCATAAAAGGTTTCTTTTTAATTTCTCTTAGAAATCAGTAAGTATTTCTTGTTATAGTAAATATGATATTTCTTCCGATTTTAAATAATTTGTCCTGTAAATAATAGGCCTATCGTCTTTATAAAAACGAGATTTAAGTCACTAAAACTCCTCAAGAGAACATGTACTGTATTTTAGTAACATAACCAAGTTTTCAATTGGTTCTTTTAATGAGGGGCATTTCGCGATTCGTTTGTTTAATTTTGAATACCTTTTTTATGTAATTCTCCACGTAAATGTTAGGTGATAATTATCGGCATTCTGATACCTGCATTGTAAGACTTGTAAAGTGTACTCATATTCATGTTTGTACTTTATGTGATCAACAGACGAGGGTAAAGACCGCTTCATCGTTATTCTACGACACTGAATCATCTGACGACGACTGCTGCCTGTCCAGTGTACCGCGGTCTTCGGTGTTAAGCCCACGGACTTCACAGGTAATGACACCCTTAGCCACATTTGGATAGCAGAGCCATCTATCGATGAATAGTTGTAGTTACCCTTCTAAAATTAAAAGTTTTAAAAAATATATATAATGCTCAAATTTACGTTCTTGTAAAGCTACAACTTATGACATCTTGAAATTTTAGAATTTGACATTCAACTTTCAGTTTTTTGTCTTTGGATAAATCGTAAATGACCATTTAGGAGTCAAAAATCTTGAAACTGAGACTTCGTCAGAAGACGAGCTGATGTAATAAGTACGTAGGTACGTACACACCCACTGAACCTTAAAATCTAAGATATTGATAAAATTAGGTATTTGTGTAATGTCCCATTGCCAACCACAGTTGTCTTATTTTCTGTTCACGTGACATTCGAAATACAGGGTGTTTAAAATAACTAGCACTGGGGTAAACGAGATGGGTGATCAAGGTTTTCCTGTAAAAAGTCATTTAATATCGCGCACAGAGAAACATGCCAGAGATATTTAAGAAGCTTATATAAAGTTTTCTTCTAACTTTGTATAAATATAGCTCACAACTTCAAAGCCTCAAGCTTTAAACAGTCGTACTTTATGAAATTTGGGAATTGATCTCGTAGAAGTGCAAAAGTAATTCTTGGACCAGATTATCGTGAAGCTGCGATGAATTTTGTGAACAACCTTCACAATGTTTCATGCTTTACATTACCCGTGCCTAAAAGCCACTATATTAAAACTAATGTAATTTTAGCTGGATTTTAGATTACGCTATGAATAATATAATGAAGTTTCGATAAAACATGTATATCAAAGAAGATAGGACGGAGATAATCTTCTAAAAACGTTTTACCCTCAGGAACAAGAAAGATGCTGTGTGTGTGTGTCTGTACGTACCCCGCAAGCCTCATTGAACGAGGCTCTCCTGTGCTCTGCTGCTAGAAATTTCAAGACGTCACTCAGATGTGTAAGTTTCTTTTTCGTAATCTTCCTTGGACTGACCATAGTTGTTCTTGTGATGTTCTGGACCGGAGCTATTCCACTCTGTGACTCTTAAATAGACCTAGTAATTTCGAGTGAAATAAAATTATTTATTTCCATAAGAGTTCAGGAGAATGTGACTGAGTAGCAGATAATTTTGTTACGAAAAGTGTGGAATAGCTCCTTTCTGCATGACAGAGATGACGGAATGTGACCCGTTCTACATATGATAATTACTTAATTATAAGTTTGAAATGATTTGGAGCGAAGCTGTCGTGGCCTAATGTAAGGGTCTGTCCAAACATTTGCTTGAAGGGAAGTCGCGATAAATTTGATTTTCATGATTTTTGTTTGTTTTTGTTACTACGATTAGTTTACGGGCAGATACGTGATGAAAGATTTCAGTAAATGTTTCACGTTCTCATCACATTAACAATTAAAATAGACGTATTTTGTAATAACATGGCTTTAGTTCCATGTTTAACCCTTTGAAGAAGTGAGAGACACTTCGATATCTGGGGGGGAGAAAGAGCATCTTATAGCTAGAAGGTCCCCAGGCAATGCCCGCTCGTCCTTCTGTTAAGGATAAAGTAAGAGTGAAGGCGTTAGTGTGATGATTGGCATAAAAGGCGGAATTTTGAACTTTGTATTAGCGAAAGCTGAGGCTATTAATTTGGAAGTTTAATATATAATGGGGTGAAGCGTGAAGTTTGTCTGAATCGTATATAAGAATTCAGTTCCGTACCGCGAAGAAAACACGACACTTCACCGTTACTACGATCGACTGGTTAACGCCGTTTACAGCGAGAATCATACGAAATACATAAATACAAAACGAAGAGTTGTTGTTTGTTCAAGAAGGTGGTACATATAATTACCACTGTGAAGTGTTAATGTCCGCTCCTCTGATTTATAGGGTTGATTGTTTAACGGTGTAGCTCATATCTTATGCATCACACACGAACCAAAGTCTGTGAATTTAAAAGCAAAACGTGAACCATGGGTTTAAGTTTCTTTGGGCACTGCGAGAGACGCTCTTAGCTTGTTTCAACTTACAAAACCCACTCTGCGCCGTTTCTGAAACAAAAAAAGTGAAAAATAATATCGTAAATGCAGTGCAGTGGACCTGTTTATCTATCATGAATCAGAGTAGTGAGTTTGTCTTCTACGTGACAGTCAGTGGACGCAACCTGCGATACGGCAGACTCTCAGCAGCGATAAAATCCTCAGTTTTTCGTAAATATAATTTTATGTCGTCGAAATCTTCAGCTCGGGGTCACGTGAGACAGTGTCCGCTCATGCTGCAATGTCTCTGGAGCTGCCTGTACTCCAGACAATAGTCAATATCCAGCATAACGACTTTAACAGTATGGCTTCGGTTCCACGAAGCATATCACGTGATTGAAGGCTGTCTGTTCGCTGACTACGGCAGAAACGAAGTTGAAATGGTCTTAACACAAGCCAGACGTCGAGACCTGTCGTTACCACATTCATAGAAAGGTTCAAAAATAAAGAAATTTCCGTAATTATTAAGTTAGACATTTAGAATGTTCAGTATTAATCGTAGACGGCGTTACGTAACTGTACGCTTCTTATGACGAATTCTTTTTGAGTCTAACGACTGCGGTCTATATTAAAAAGCTATATTTTTTATCTCTCGTTTTGTATGGTCTCTCACGTAAGGGAAGAACATATATTGAGGGTGTTTGAAGACGGGGTGCTGAGGGGAATATCTGGACCTAAGAGGGATGAAGTGTTAGGTTACTGGAGAAAAATGCGTAATGAGGAGCTTTATAATTTTACTGTTCATTAAATATTAAACGCGGGATCAGACCGAGGAGGGCGGGATAAACGGGCAATGTATTGGGCATGAAAAATGTGTCAAACACTTTAATGGCTATATCCGAAGGGAAGAGAACACTGGGTGGATTAGGCGTAGGTGGGCGGATAATATTAAAATGGAGGGTGTGCACTACATTCGTCGGGGTTACGATAGGGACCCGTGGCGGGGTTTTGTGAACACGGTAATGAAACTTTGGCGTCCATTCTTGGCCAGCTGAACGTACTATTGACTTCGCTTCTGTAATTTATTTGATTAATTTGAAAATGATATAGGAGACGAAGTTTGTTTTGAAGTACCGGCGAATAATAAATAAAACCGACTCTGCTACGAAACAATTTACAATTGGCAGCCATTCGTGTGCGGTCACCAGGCTCTACTATCGAGTTCTGCCCGAACTCCGAAAGCCGATGTCGGTATGAGGTTACTACTGTGCATAGACCCACGTGTTTATTGGCCCCAAAAGACTCGGAGGACCTGCGCCTTCGCCATCGTGCAATTAAACATCGCCGTTTGCTTCGATGTACAGGAACACGCAGAAGACTGAGCCACTGGGTCCAAGATGACGAATCAAAATTCTCCTCCTAGGCTGTAACGCCGCGTGGATTTCTGGGTAGAAATCAACGTTTCGGAGGAACATACTGTGTCCATCTTCAGGGCTGCAGAAGAATGATTGAGGCGCTATGTTCCTCCGAAACGTCGGTGTCGACCTACAAGTTACAAATTATAAGACCAACATCGACGTCTTTACAACTGTAAGAAGCTAAGATCTTGCGAATTCGTTTTGTTTTTTGAGAATAGTCTCAGATTTAAAGTCGATGTTGGAAGGTAATGTTTTGTCGAAACAGTTACATTAGTTAATAAGTGAATTTGTAGGTGTGTTTAAAGAGCTGTAAATGTAAAATGTTACAGTGATTATTTCAATTAATCACGTGAACTATTCAGATAGGACCGTAATCAATTTCTCTCTGACAATGAACCGCGTAACCTCTAAAATATTTCTTACCACTTTTAATTACGTACGATTCGGTATCATGTTCTACATTTTCCGGTTACTTTACTGTGCTATCTGAGTTTTCCGATCAACCCTTTCAAGCCAAAATTCACATAGGCCTAAATAATATTTAAGAATTCAGTCCGTACCGCGAAGAAAACACCGCACTTCACCATTACTTCGATCAACTGGTTAACTCTGTTTAAGGAAATAATCGCTGTTTACACTGAGAATCATAGTTCGTCTGATTAATATTAAAGAATTCAGTCCGTACCGCGAAGAAAACACCGCACTTCACCATTACTTCGATCAACTGGTTAACTCTGTTTAAGGAAATAATCGCTGTTTACACTGAGAATCATAGTTCGTCTGATTAATATTAAAGAATTCAGTCCGTACCGCGAAGAAAACACCGCACTTCACCATTACAAAGATCAACTGGTTAACGCTGTTCAAATAAATAATCGCTGTTTACCAAACATAAATACAGTCTGTGCAAAAAAAATAACAGAGTTATTGAATGTTAATGTAGATGACCCTAAAAGGTTAAACACCTCACTGGGACTTTCCCATCGCTGTATTGATCTTTCACGTTACATTTTAATTTCGGGCCCTAAGTCACTGACTTAGTCTTATCACTTTCCTCGTGATTGTACTGACGTTTCTAACTTATACGTCGTTATAAAAGTACAGATTTGGGTACAATAACTTACCAGAGGTTACGTGAATCTGAGATGCAAATTAGTCTAATTTCTCTTGTCACCAGACTCAACTGCTTTAATCACTCGCTGACTTAATTGCTGTTTTAAGTCAAGATTTCGACACGCTTATGAACCTAGCAGCACTGATCAATGTATAATTCATTGTGCTGTGCAGATCAACAAATATCTACTGTTGAAATCATGCTCTCGCCGTGAAATTAAAACTATTTCTCGGTGGTATTTATCCCTTGACAAATATAACATCACTGGACTAATAAGAGACAGTTTTTTTTCAGATGGTTAGTACAAGTTCTGTCATTGCTAGGACTCGCGTAGGCTTGCGTACTGCACAAACGAGCATTCACTTATGCTGGTCACGTGTGTCTATTGTTTTAATAGGCAAGTCACTTCCGCTTTGGGTCTGTCTTCGTCTGTGTGTCTTCCTGTCATCTTCTCCCACTCTCACTGTTCTTCACTCTCTTTTTAATACACTAGCTCCTTTTCATGTGTCTATTGGTGAAGTTTATCGGCGTTCGTATAACTTTCATTTTGATGTTAATCTGTTTAAGCAAATTCTTCGAACTGTGAGCTTTCTCGGCTGTTAACGTGATGGTGGTATTATTTTAAGATTAGAAGGTTATAAAAAGTCAGTTTCTGTGAATCGCCTAGAATAATCGGTTTATTATTCATTTGTCACGCGAAGTTCATTGTAGTGAACTCACAATCGTAAATCTTACTTTTAAAGCAGTAATAATTCCGAAGAAAGTAATAGTCTGTGTTCTAAAGAATTCATATGTTACCATACACGGCACATTGATACAGGACGCACGATGTTTTGTGTACTCGGGCCAACATATTCTGGGGTTATTCAGGCCTGTTTGTAGTCACACAAATATGGCGCACGTTCTGATATTACAAGGATGTGTTACCTACGTGAAGGGAAATGTAATTGCGCATCTGCGATCGTAATAAACAGGTTTAATTAATTAATTAACCCTTTAAAACCCGCTGATAATGGCAATTTTATTTGCTTCAACAGTTAATAACACTTAATTTTTATTTACATATTTCTTATGATTCTCAATGTAAACAGCGATTACTTCCGTAAACAGCGTTAACCAGTTGATCTTTGTAATGGTGAAGTGTGGTGTTTTCTTCGCGGTACGGACTGAATTCTTAAATATTATTTAGACGGGTTAATAGACTCTCATTATGGGTTTTGTACGATCCTCAGAATAAACAGCGATTATTTCCTTAATCAGCGTTAACTATTTGATCCTTTTAATGGTGAAGTGTGGTGTTTTCTTCGCGGTACGGACTGAATTCTTAAATATTATTTAGACGGGTTAATAGACTCTCATTATGGGTTTTGTACGATCCTCAGAATAAACAGCGATTATTTCCTTAAACAGCGTTAACCATTTGATCTTCGTAATGGTGAAGTGCGGTGT